GTTCCACTATATCACGTTCTTTTTTTACCGTTTTCTTTTTTTAAAGTAATAGGTATATACCGTACTGAAAGCCCCCATGCGCAGATGCATTTGTGAATGGCCCGCTCCAACTTTTAGGCGCTTGCATTTTATACGGTATGTGCACATACTTTACTTATTTTTAGTGTGATACTTATTTTAAAGGGGAAACCGGATATCCGAAAGGAAGACCAAAGCACTAGTGAAAGTTCAAGCCGTAGAAAAATGCGTGCGATACTTAAAAAAATACAGAAAAGCTCGAACGTCTTTTTTTCCCCCTAAAAGGAGCCATTGTGCGACATTTTGAATGCTATATTGCCAGACATCGTGAGGGTTATGGAAAGCGTTAGGAGCGAAACAGAATTATACAAAAAACCAGAGTTCTTCTTCTACTAACATTTGATTTTGATAATCGCGTCTTTGCGGCCATTATTCCGTGATCCCGTCAGGTTTGAAGTGAGCGCACAATCGAGCAAATCCTGACAAAAAAATACTAAAAGTGCATTTGCTCTAAGAAATCTAGGCTGGCGGGCTGGATGGATGGATGAATGAATCCGGCTGAGCCCTTTGGATCGGGCGGTACCTTATGCCACCTAGCCATTTTGTTTTACCTTTTAAGCTTAGAATATTTAAATGTGGGCTTTTTCGAGTAACGAGCGCCGTCTGGGGAGTGGTCTGCGAACTACAAATGAGGGGCAACTGAACATGGCCCCGCCCGTCAGAGAACATTGGCATCGTGCCGTTGTATCGGTCTTCAGCTTTTTTTATACCCCATGTATACTAACGATACTAAAAAAAAAAAAGAAAAACCGAAACGTCAAAATAGACTAAATAGGCGCGAAGTTAGATGCTAACAACGTTGATCGTGCGGGACGGTGCGCCATGAAATAGCGACAGCGGGAAGATAGGCCTATGGAGAGAGTGTACGCATGCGCAGAAGTATACAGAAAAAAAAGATATATTTCACCGTAAACTACTCTGGAAAGCCGGTCGCTACAATGGACTTTACTCATTACAAGTAACCGACTTGCTCATCACAAGTAGCCGAATTACTTGTAATCGAATATTTCTTTTTTGTAATATTCTGATCATTTGGATACATTTATTCGGGAGTGATCGCATGAGTAATCTGATTATACTATAATTACTTGAAACCGTTGTTACTTTTCCCTCCCCTTTCTAATGGCGCCCTTTCTTTGCGCAAGTTCCCTACCAAGGAATATACTCAAACCAAGTTTCCGACAGAAGAATGGTTCACCGAAATTGGTGGACTAAGAATAGGGAGTTTTAGGGAACCGTTTTAGCAAATCCGATACCGTACGACGGGGGCCATCGGTACGAAATGCGCATGCGCTGCCGCAGAAGACTTGCATGTGCGCAGTTCGTATTCCGGAGGGCCCTTTCGTATACCGTATCGGATTTGCTAAAACGGTTCTCTAAAACTGTATAATGTAAGTAGTTTAGAATTCCGTGACTCTAATAATGGACAGTACCATAAACTCGTTCTCAAATCCGCGGGACAGTCTGTCGTTTTGAAGATCTGAAGTATTTGGAAAAGTAAGGGTCAATTTTCAAATAACCGTTAATTGGTTTAGATCTCAATAATTGAAGTGATATAACTGAATACTTTTTTTTTAAAGCGAGAGTAATTGCGATCGTAATCAAGGTATTTTTTCGAGTAACATGTACAAGACTGTTGCAATGTACGGAAGCATCTGGGCAAATGAAAGTGCTTAATATGTTTAGACCTTCAATAAAAAAATATTTAAAAAATGGTCTGGGTTGTGACAATGATCTTGGTGATTCTTTATGCTCAGTGTCATAGAGCAGACTAGTTTCTTATGTGTAAGCATATTGTCAGCCACGTCATTTTTTGAGTGCCCTCCGTAGATAGCAATCAAAAGTTTTATTAGATTGTTCCGATAACGATACGATTCATGCGTCGGAAGGATCAAAAACGATCTACTAAAACTCTTTGATGACTGGCTCCCCCGAGTACCTTGCGACAAAGTGTAACATACTAGTTTTCTAAAAAATTTTATCATTTTTGGCGACTCCAAATGTTTTTTTTTTTTGCGATTTAGAAAGAGGTTTCATATGCACGACCACTAATTATCTCAAATTCTGAAGGACTGAATTCGCGTTGTCTCCATAGACAATAAAAATCCTCGTGTTCACCTTAATGTTAACGATTTTTTTTTCAATTCCAGTTCGCGAAATTTAGATTACAGCCTGCAATTCCGCGGATGAACTTGAGAAGCTTATCTTATTTTAGTTTTTATTTTATTTACGTAGATGAAAAGAAAAGATTCCTCTTCTGCAAGGAGGTCGACGTTTATTAAGTTAGGCTGCTAATTTGCATCGTTTCCGGTTCTGCGAGCTTCTTTCTGTGCTGCATGTAAATCGAGTTAGTGGAACAAAAAAATAAACTACACTAAAAAAGAATATATGTACGTCTAATTCTCAGCGGAACACTCTATACACTCCAAGAAATCAGGTCCGTCCACATTCCTGCAAAGCACTCGGTAGTGACAATCGCTGCAATCTTCGAACGAAGAGACTATTAATATGCAAAAAGTAAGTGTGCAAACGAGCTGATAGAAATCGAGCAACAAAGAAAAATCATAATTAATTAGCTGTGTTTGAGATTGCTGTTTGCATGTTTCCGATGGTACGCTGCAGGTAGAAGGCTAACAACGCGAAAAAGCGGGCGATTAAAGAAAGATAAAAAAAAAGATCTACCGTGTTATCGCATCAACAGCCTTGCGCTCGTTGCGCGAGTGGGGCCTTTAGCGTACCGCGCGCGCTTCTCGCGTGCTTCGAGTCTCCCTAAAATTGACCGATGTCGGGGTTTGCAGAGGACGCCCAGCAAGATTCGAATGAAAACCATACGTTCATTTGCACTAATTAGAAAATTTAATTCGTAAAATTTCAGGTAATTATTGCGGTTTCTTTTTTGATTCCTAACGTCCGTTGCGGCCGGCAGTTTGTTCCATAAAAAGTTCCCCCCTTTTTTCTCAGTTACCCTACCTCTAAAAATTATTGAATGCTCTTGCAGAAAAACACTTTATGATTAATGTCAGCTTAAGGAAAGCAGGGCGCATTGAATGCCGAACATCTTATTCCCGCTCCACAGCCAATGAGCTTACAGCCTTAGCCGATAAGAATATCCAAGAACGAATAGCAAAGCAAAATGTGTCAACAGTCCAAGGTCACGGCGCATTCTCTGCGCTCCGTTGGTTTAACAGATGATATCAGACCATAGAAATACAACGAATATCGTAAGGTTGCGCTTTTTCGTCCTACCCCGCTTTCGAAAATTCAGTGCCATCTTGGGGGCTCAAAAAGCAGCTTCACTTTCGACGAAGTAACGGCAGTCATTAAATTATATTCGGGCACCGTCACTCTCGCATGTGAATGGCAAATGAGAATCGGTGCTTCTATCCAATCGTTCGTTTTTTCTTGATTTATTCCACGTTTGATGGTGTGAACATGGGAACAAAAGACCGGCGACCCATAAGGAGTCTTGTACATGTTACTTGAAAAAAAGTAACTACTACTTTTCCGATTACGTCTGGTTTTTAAAACGACGCGTTTTTCTACCGGTTTTAAAACTGCGTCTTCAATGCTGTCCATAATTGAAAAAGAATCACCGTATTACGAGCTACTTACCTTGCTAATTCACAAAATTTTAGCGTAACATCCTGCTTTCGGAGAATCTTGGTTGAAACAAAGGAAGCCATTTGAAAGATAAGGGGAAAATAGTAGTGGCAACAAGTAATTTTACTACTTTGAAAAGCAATGAAATTTCTGTTGTCATTAGTTCCTAATAAATGTATTCAAATGGTTGTAAAATTATCCCGAAAAGTAATCGATCACGAGTAATTTTATTACTCGTAATGAGTATCGAGCAAGACTGCCCATAAGCCCCTCGAATAAATTGCCGCTATCAAAAGGCTTTAGGGCCAACCACTTGTGTCAAGAAAGCGATTGGACCACACTCCAAAATAAATACTTACGCAGCCGTTGTACCCAATTCGTGCGTCGTGTTTTGTGCCGAATGTCACGAACGCTCGACCCTTATTTATATATCCTACGCCCGGTAGTATCTTTTAACTTCTTCCTCCGTCAGCCTCAAGAAGACCGCCATTAGCTTCGCAAGGATCCCACACACTGAGATGATCGTGGCGATCAAAGTTGCCAGACTGAATTTTGAAAATAATCTATGGGCCTCGTTGGCTCGTCCAACAGAAACAATACTCGTATCACCTCAAGAACCGTAGAAAAAGTAGTGCGGACGTTCGCGGAAGGTTACTAAATTCTCCTTTCCCGCGTCGAATTAGGATACATCTCGGGGAATCTTAGATTAGTTTTATGTTCTTCGGCAACCAAATCTAACAGGAACTACTTTGCGCAGCGCACAAATAATGCGAATAAAACGTCGCTTTTTTTTTCTTGATGGGACGACCACTATATATACTATAAAATGCGCTCGGAGTATTGGCACTTCATAACTCGATCGTCTTTTAGGCGCCGCCATTTTGTTCCTTGGTACAGAGCGGTCGAAAGTGGGCGATAAGTATACCCTTCCGAAATGCGACTCGCTGACTTGCAAGGAGGACGACAAAGCGTTCCGCGCAATTCGCAACTGCAACATTTTTTTTCTTTTCTTATTGGTTTAAATTTGCAGCTGCACCATAAAACAGCGCTTTCATTGCTAATCCATCTTACAAAAGACAGTGGGCAACTACTGTTTGAGGCGTACGCGTTTCTATTTTGTCTGACGGTCCCGTCATATTGGTCATGCTGTCTACAGAAATCTTCGAGACACATATATGTATGAGCATATATGTATGTCCTCCGATAAATATGTCATGCGAGTCCGGTGCGCGACACCCTGTTTTTTGTCTGATGTATGAGCAGTTCGACTGTGACTTAATTGAGGGAGAAAAATACAATAAAAACAGTTTAGGCCGCCATACCAGAATCCGTGCGCATTCGGCGTGGTCGTAAATCGCCGCCAGGTGCAACGCAGTCCTGCCATGCTTGCTTCTCAGGTTGGTATCCACCTTGTCCTTGTGCTTGACCAGGGCCTGCGCAGATCGTACGAAGCGTTTTAGTCGACGGAGTAATTGGAGTGTACATACCGTGTACTCGCGATATTGGTAAGCGTTGGAAGCTCTATTTATACTTTATACGCTGAAAAATCGCTCTGAACTAAGAGACATCGAAAGGTTAAAGGGGCGGCGCAACAATTTGCGGACTTTGGCTAATTAATTGCGGGAATTGATCCCGGCCACATATAAAACGAAGGACCGAAAACTATTCTCACCTGCTTGCCCTAATTTTCATTAAAAAAATAAAAGAAACTGGTATCTCTGGCACCCCTCAACTCAACATTGAAGCGGCACCAGCTTCGCCTGTGACGTCATTCGGAGTGGCGTTGGTTTCCGGTCGGGTGCTTCTGGCTTCCGTTTCCCCAGCGCTCGCCGGCTCGCCAGGCTCGCCGCTCTCCCGTCGATTCCCGACCAACATGGCGGCATGGGCGGACGGCCTGAGCGACGTCGAGCGCAAGATGCTTGCGTCGCTTGCGTATAGTAAGTCAGTTGGACTTGTGCGGCGGGCAGTCGAAGTCGAGGTCGAGACACCAGGAACAATAACGATACCACGACCAACGCACTCCGTCGAGCGATGGAAAGACAAAACGTCCGGGTTGCTCGTGTAGCCGCCGTAGGCGCCTCGGGCGTCGACGGATGACGGCGACGGCAGGTTTGGTTGACTTGCGGTAGATGGCGCCACAAATCTTTTAGCGGCAATATTAGGCTTTTGAAGCGTCTCTGCATGCCTAAACAACAAGATTTTTTAAACTTAACCTTAAAACAAGCTTACAATTGCCTAACACTGTCACTTACAAAAACCACTCCGAATGACGTCACACCACAGGTTCCATTTGCGGCCACCATGTGGCCGAAGGTTGGGAAAAAAAGCGTTCTTTATTTTGTGATTACGCAGCGAAATAGAGGTATTTTGGGGTATGATGGCACTTTTTCTCTTACTTATGCCGAAGTAAACAATATAAAAAATACAAGCTGCACATTCGTTCACTGTTAAAATCATTGCACCGCCCCTTTAAGTCATCCCTCCACAACTATACGTTTAATTTTTCCACCTAACTACTGCTGAATAGATCGTAATGTACAGACCGCCCGCAGGTAAAAATATTATATAAATGTGTCTAATAAAAAGAAATGGAAAAGTTACGAAACATATAGGAACTGATATACGCCTGATATAATGTATTTAAGTTTTGAGGTGTTGATTGAACAAGCTCTATATTAAAAAAAAATAGAATGAACATCCTATTGTTAATCAGTTTAACAATACCTGATAAAGTTCTAGTAACTAAGTAAATAAGATTACAGTGCAATCCCCCCCTCTCCTTCAAGCGTCCCTATTAAAAAAAATGAAAATGATTTCTCCCGTTAACTATATCACAACGTATATGAGATATAATGCTCTTGTAAGTTGTGACATATTTATTGAAAAGATTCATATAATTGTTGTTGTTGTTTTACTTGGGTTAGTAGCGCCACAACGGCCGAGTTTGGTGGAGTTGAAGCCACTGAACGATGCTCGGCCTGCACGAGCGCGCGTGCTCGGCGCATGAACGCTCGAACCACGGAGCTCGCTCTCGTAGCTTCTGTTACGCTCGTACTTGAAATAAAATGGAGATTCTCACGCAGTCCCCAAGAAAGAGGAGCGGGAACGCAGCGGAGATGGTAACAGGGACTGCGGTGACAGGGACTGTGGTTTTGGTCGGTGTGTGTTCGTGCACAGTGCAGTTTTAAAGGAAAAAAGCGAGTGCGTTAAAATGGGAATTAATGTGTTCCTCTTCGCAACATTTAAAAATCAACAGTCTAATTTCCTTAACGAATGTCCGCATTCGTGTCATTTGTGATATGCTCCTGCTCTGACCGCTTCGTATATAGCACCAAATGAATTCATTTTAGCACACTGACCAACGTCTGCGAGCGGGGCACGGGAAATCCTGGAGAATCTAGTCCCGCCTTTCCATCTTGAAACTCCCGTTTTATGAAGGTTTGGGATAGCGCGACACGGAGAGGAAACGTAAAGAGGGAGTCAGGGCGAACGCTCTGTCCTGTTTCTTACTTTAATTTTCCTCTTCGTGTCGCGCTGTCCAAGATCTTAATATGCTTATTCAACTAGCCCACCAGATAATCTTGATGAATCTACCGCCCCGTCATCAATAGGGAGTTGGAGCTGCAGATAGTGAAGGCCCTCACAACACACAAATATAATATATCGAGAAAAAAAAAAGATGTTGAAGCAAGTGCCCTAGAAGAACAAGCGGAAAGAACTGGCCACACAATAGACCACGAAGGGAACACTCTGCTGGCCTTAGAAAGGCATTGATGAAAGCTGGACTTTTGTGAGTCCTGATTGATTCGACGAACAAATGTAAACGTAAACCGCTCCTCGGGCACTCTGCTCAGCAATTATGTCTCAGGGCTGCGTGACGTCTGCAAAGCACCCAACATTCGTAAAGAGATAAGATAATCCGCCAACCAAAAATTGAAATAGTAGCGACCCTACGTTTCGAAACCGTTCGTTTCTTCTTCGCCAACCAGAGAGAATTCTCTCAAACATGTTTACCTTCAACCCAACATTCGTGTGTTCAAATAGCGACACGTGTCCCCACCGGTACCCGTGACCAATGAACCGAATCGTTTCCGAAATGTCGAGACACTATTTAATAAACTTGGTTAGTGTTAGCAATTTTCGGCTGATATCTCTTTCTAACCAGGCAGAGAGCCACCGAACTTTTACCTTCAGTATCCCGTCACGACCCAACTCTACGCTCGTTGTTCAACCCTAGAACCATTGAATAAGCTCACAGTACAGGCACTCCATTCAGCGATTTCTCTTGTGGGCGCAGCCATTTTTATGCGCGCAATAGACTCTTTTCAAATCTTCCGCGTCATCGTCTGTCAACCATCGCTTGATCTCGTTTTCTGAGCATGTATTGTACACGAGGGCTGCGGTAGCATTCGGCGTGAGCTCGGCTGAGCTCGAATGAGAAAACGAATGCGACGTCAGCGTTCGACGAGGAGTCGGATTTAATCACACGCTTCGTGTCCAAGCAATGGCGACCGCCAATGTTGCTTGATGGACTTTTGAAAAGGTCCGATTGGCGATAGTTACTATATAAAAATTCGACTTCCTGAGCTCAAGATAGGGCGCCTAGATTTCCCCGTGATATCGTTTTGCTTCGTCGCTGACTTTTTTTTTACATTTTTTTTGGACGACGGTGAAGCGCTCCCTGCGATTTCAGATAGATCATCAGATAACTGGCAGAAATCATTCAAAGCACTAAGATGTATCAAACTTTTGGTTTCTAGGCTAGGTGGCACAAGCTACCGCCCGTTATAAAGAGGACATATTAGCATTCATCCATCCATCCATCTGATGACTGACGTGTCGTGACATTGAAGTGTAGCTTATTCGGTGACTCTATTCAACCAGGAGGACATAGTCCTGATAGTCACGCGACTGAGCAGTTGCCAGTCCATCAGCAACTGCGAAACGTTCTGAAACTTCTTATTTTTTTTTTTTGGAAAGTGGTGGACTGAAGTGCTACTGTACGCTGAATAAATCAATGCAAAAAGACCAAAAACACGCCCCTATTTTTTTAAGAACTAATTTTCCTGTGCTTCATTACCTAAACCTGCACACTTGACTACATAACAAAAATTAAAAAAACACACACACGCACGCACACACGCACACACACACGCACACACAAGCAAACACACACACGCACACGCACACACACTCACAAACACACATGAGCGAACTGAGTTGAATTGAATCGGAGTTGTTCGCACAAACTCCAGAAGGCGGCCCAACAAAGCGAGACTCGTGGTGCGGAAGTTCTTAACGACTTTCACTCCCGATACAATTCTCGCGCCGTCGACTGCGAAAACAATGGCGCGCCGTTTTCGAAAGGTGGCTTCGCCGCGTCACACTGGAGCCGCGAAATGGAAGCTGCGGCCAACGCTCCAGGATCCGGCCAACGTGCCAATTAGCGCCCTCAAGCTCGGTTTAACAATTGAAGTGTCGACGTCACGCAGTAAAGCAACACCCGATAATTAACTATACCGCGTGCAAGTTCGCCTGCTCTCTGCGCAGCTCGTGCGATTGTTGACCCGCCAAATGCGCCCACGCGCTGTTACATAGCCTCCTCTATGATCACAAAGCCTGTCAGTTCGACGACGGAGCCATAGAGTGCCCGGTCGCAGATGTGGAGCACGAGGATCTGGTAGCACAGAGTATTTCTCGGGGAGCCTGTTGTCAGTGCACAGCTTTTGCGGCGGCGAGATCCCGAAACATGATTTTCAAAACGCGACGAGAAAAGAAGCGGTATAGCGCGAAGAACGCGAGGAGCACGAGAGGACATTCCATCGCTCGGGAGAAGTATGTTCAGGCGTCTCGCCGCAGCGGGGCGCCCGTTACATGCCTTTCCTCTCATCCGTTGTCTGCCGCTCTGCCTTTTCTTTTTCGGCGGCCGCGTCTCGTGGCGATCTGCCTGGCTTTGTCCATATAAAGAAGGCTACGGCTGTTGTTAACTCCCGGCCTCGAGCAATATGACAACGCCCGCTTGCCTGCCTCGGCAACGCGCGTTTGCCGTGCGTTTACCACGTTGGCTTTTGACTGGCGTGCCCCACCTTGAGTCCCGGCGCGCCAAATAAGCAATTTGAAACACCTGCTGGCCGTATAGACGTTCTGCACACGCGCCAGGGTACAGCCGCCATTGCTGACGTTCTCTCGTCTTACCGATATATCGAGCCACTGGAACGGGTCGTGAGAAACAAAATAAGTGTGTCGGAGTAACTCTCGGTGACTGAAAATATGATGATCGTAATGTTCCAATCACTGTCATCCAAAATCATGATGGAAGAGTGCGACTAGCGGAACGATCAAAATAATCCGTGCGCCAGGCGCCGAGGGCCGGAATCTGCCGTACGAGTGGTCACACTCTGTCCGAGCAAAACAGAGTTGAACGCCACATTCGTTTCTTACGTCTTTCTGTATGATTATAATCGAAACATCACATGCCCCCTATTTTCAACCATGAAGGGTTACTACAGTTAACTCTTACCCGCTTAATAAAACCATATACCTATGATTAAAACTGTTTCTCGCTACCACCTCTAGGGGTTCTTTTCGGCTTCGGGTTGGCCAAGAGAGCATGTCAAGCCTTCCTTCTATGTCTGTTGCACGGCCTGGCACTGCCCGTGCCTCCCATTGATCGAACTCTCTCTATACACGGCTCTGGTATAAGCAAGCACATTTATTTTGAAGCCAATCATCCACGAGCTAGGGAGCGAGGTTCTCAAACCGCGGTCATCACTGGAAGTTGTGAATGGTGAGACGAATATAAACCATTCATCGCCTTCTGCGCGCTGTCGTATATCTCTAATGAACTGTGAAATTCGCTCAGAATGTTGACAGTGATAATCTCGGAAATTTAAGACAATGCGCACGCGTCCAGAGCCCGGTCACTGGGGTTATTTGCCCGGTTGACAAGGGCTGAAAAGATGTATAGAAGCAGTGGCGGAGATGTTTATGCTCTATCGTGACGTCGCCGAGCGTGAATGCTCACTTCTTATTAATTTAGTTATACGTGCCACTGACGTCACGTAAAATCAGCGGCGCAGGCTGTAGAGCTGAGCGTGCGACGATTCCCTTGTTGAAAGCCAGAAACGATGGCCAGTAATCATATCCAATGCATCGTACAACCTTATTCGACATTTCGTCGCTCGTGCGTGGCACTTGTCAGTCCTTAAAAGCATTCACATATAGCTCTTAGGAAAGATGGACTAACCTGCAAGGACTTGACCTTGTTGAGCTGAGTGCTCACGTGGAGCGGACTTTGGGTGTTCTTGTTCAGGAGACTAGTGTCGGCGCCGTTGTCGATCAGGAAGCTTATGGCGTCCGCTGCCTCGTGCTCGCAGGCGCTGTGGAGTGGACTGTTGTCTTCGTAGTCCAGCATTCCCAGATCTGTCGATAATTGCGAGGAGTTAGCGCGAGAAGCGTCGAACAATAGGTGACCTTAACGGATGGCCCTAGTTAAAATTCGTTAGCGCTGGGTGCGTGTTCATGGCGAGTTTTCACGATGTTTTCACAGAGCGCTAATCACAGTTGTCATTCTTAGCAGACAAATTTTGGGAGCCCGGTCTGCGATGTGAGCAGCGCGCTGCAGTAGGGCGTCTGGTGCAGCATCTACATGACTCGGTTCTCCATGAACACGTACACTCTTAAACACGCTCAAACGGGAGTACATACACACACCGACACACAAACGTACGCGCAAGTGGACACACCTGCATATGCAAACACGTACACGCTCAAAAATACAGAAACACGTACATATCACGCGGAGGAAAATTAATTTCCTCCGCGTGATATGTAGGTGTAATTATTTACTTTTTATTTAAAAGCAATTGTAGTTTTAATTTAACTACAGTTTCGTTTCAGTAATTGCCAAGAAGTGTAATTGCAATTACAAGTTCCTTTATCACATACTTTGTTGTGCGCTCAGGGCCAGTAATGTGAAGTCTTCAAGGCATTAGTTGAGTTGACCCATCAGCGAATTGTAAAGGCATTACAGACTGCAAGCTCAAAAAAAGCGCCGAAAAAGTAGAGGGTCCCCAAGTCGAGCTATACAATAAAAAGCGCACTTGCAGCTTAAGTTTAGAAAACGAGACGTTTAATGTAAGCCATCCGCGGATAACATTTTGTGTTGCACTGTCAAGGCTATACTTCGTTTTGCCTCAAGTCTGGACATGGGTGTTCCGGACGCCGCCGACGTTATAAACTGATGGGGACCAATCACATTGCATCAAAAGGGCACCAACATGGTGTTTCTCATATTTTTGTACGTGTTCTACCGTCACCGGCCCGATCATGTGCAGGAAAAAGCCAGTGACTTGCGCTTTTGATCCTGTTTGATTAGTTCCATCAGCTCGTAATGTCGGTCGCGTACGGACTTGAGGTGAAATGGAGTATATAGCTTAGCTTCGATGGTGCAGCAGGCCCGTACTGCTGCGAGGGCACGTCAGTTCTTCTTGCGTCTCATTCGCACGCTCCTTCCTGTGAAGGAGGCGCCAAAGGAAGCCTTTCGCTTGCGCACGCAGCGCTTCCGCAGCGCTGGAACACTGTGGAAACTGTGGTATATACACCTTTTGCACTAGGGCACAGCCATCTTGAATGTCGTCCCTTCTGGTATGCGGTAAAACATCGTTTTGATATCTCCACACCGCTGGAAGTTAACCATGTTGAATATACCTAAGACTGGGGCAGAAATGGACATAAAAGTCGAAGGAACAGAAAGGGACAGGACGACGTCGTCCTGTCCCTTTCTGTTCCTTCAACTTTTATGTTCATTTCTACCCCAGTCTCAGGTATATTTAACATGGTTAACATTCCCCAGCTCGCCTGCACCCTTACTATTTTATCGCTGGAAGTTGTTTACAAAAAATGCGTGATTTTCAAACACTCTCAATTGTTTTGCCTCACCTATATTTTCTCGCATATTTCTGGTAGAAATCTTGTATTACTTTTTGATTCCGCGTACCAGATACGAAACCGACGTCAATGAAAACGACAAGAAGCTGAAACCGTCCATAGACTCATTTATTAAAAGCGCTGGAAGGAGGCGCTGTTGTCAATTTAAGTCCCCGCGTACTTCCGGTAAAATAAGAGGACAAACAATCTGCACCGTAGCACAACTTCTTGTAAGGTTCGTGCAATATATTTTATAACCAGCTCTCCGGCTGATTAGTCAAAGGACCGGTTAGCGATAAATTTGTTGGAGATTCTTTTGTCATATCTGTAAGACTACCCACCTATTCTTATATATTGTTAAACTGCACAACAAAAGGAGCTCGCTAAATTTTCATATTCGAGATTTTCGTAGAACTTCAGCTTTTCGGAAATGTTTACATCAACAAGCTCGGAAGGACTGCTCAAACGGAGCGACCGGAAGTCCCTTGAGAGCCAAATGACGGCTTGTGTTTGTAAACAGTAAAATGGTCTTGGCAAGGTGACACAAAGTAGTTGTTAAAAAAAGGCTCGTGGCACACCTAAGCGCTTCTTATGAGTTGTGAATGCGAAAGCACGCCACGCCTCTCCTCCGCTCGCTTGCTTTGTCTGCGGCGTACTTTCATCGACGGTCGAGCGCACGCACGCTCTCCTCAACACGCTGACCTTGGGCGTGGAGCGGTGGAGCCACTGCCTCGCGGACACGCAGCGCCATGGGAAGGCGCTAATTGAAACTGACGCCCGGCGGCTTCATATCATTGCCGTTTTGCGTGGCTTCCTGAGTGGTTTCAAAGCTCGGATGCCTCAGATCGCGGCTTCGGGAATTTATCTGCCGTTTGGCGCGGCTGATGACGTCGGCTCGCTCCATAGGACAGTTAAAGCTTTCGCATGAAAATAGTTGTAGCCGAGTTTTACAGTCATCGCTATGTCGGTGCAAACGCAGTGTGATCTTCACTCTCTTTTTTATAAAGAAAGATAGAGAGAAAGAAGGTTAGGCTATGGACGGTTTGCATACAGATTGATTGCCTTTTATCCAAATCTCAAATGCCTCCTGTACATTTTTTCGAAAGTTTTCAATGCAACTCGTCAATATCTCAATGTTGTTAAACGCTGGAGCAGACGGGTTTCTGCTAGATTTGACTGAACGGTGAACAGACAGGGTCGCTCGCGTGGCCGCCGCACGCACACGGGTGCGAACGTCGAGGCTCCCAAAGTCTAGCCAATAAACGCCAGATTGCAAGTCAGCAGTCAGCGGTATTTCCCTACAATCTAAACAGAAAGTTCTCCAGCTCTTTAATGTCCCTGTCTTGTTCCCAGCTCCCAAGAAGACGGAACGGTTGTGCTGTCAAATCAAGAGCCTTTCGCCAACGATATACGCGTGTAGCAAGAAAAACTTTCAGCCTTTCCACTCTGATGAAGAAGGAAGGCTAGGGAAGCTGTACTATAGTGGGAATGAGGTAATGGGCGGCCGCAAGTTTTCAAGCCAGAATGGAAAGGCTCAAAAGGTTGCCGCGATCTATGAGCGACAGTGGCCGCCCATTTATATATATATATATATATATATCTATATATATATATATATATATATATATATATATATATATATATATATATATATATATATATATATATATATATATATATGGAAGAAGAAAAGAACCCTTAGTGAAAACAGCAACAACGGACGATTTAATCTTCGACGTTTCGGCCGGAGTCCGGCCTTCGTCAGAAAGAACCCACGCCTTCGGACCCCCGCCACCATGCCCGTTGTGTGTGTGTGTGTGTGTGTGTGTGTGTGTATATATATATAGCAGTTTCGCAATGAGATTCGGCACCCGCTTAAAATGTTAGAGCCTATGAGTGACAAAGGAAAAGGCTGTAACATGAACGCCAAAGACAAGTGCACGTTAAACAATAAAGCATTAGCCCCCCGAGGCAGTATTTCACAATGTTTCGAGCTCGTGCAAGCCGATGCCCAAATGTGATTTTTATGTATAAGAACATTTGTGTGCCCTTCGCGCAATTTATGTGTAATTAGGAATATCATTACATCTTTAAGTAAGTTTTCTTTGCGACACCGTGTATCAAAATCTTTTGAAGAATAGCCCCCCCCCCCCCCCCCCCCCTTTACTATCTTTCTCTTTCTGCACATTTCGTGCATTTGCCCTCAGATCTATCATGTGTGCGCACAGTTCTTTTTGGCAGATCCCTGGACCCGGTGTTTCACACTGCCAAGCAGCAAAGAAAAAAGCACGTTTCCGCAGACTCAAAAGCTGGCCCATTTCCGAGTTTCGTCCTTTCGTGTCGGTCTCAAGCAGTTATGTGAACTTAATTAAGTCAACGGTATTGACGATAATAAAAATGTATTTGATTATTGACTGAAGATTTGACAACAAATATAAAGGGCCAATCAGCGCAAATATACAGGGTGTTTTTTTTTTTTTTTATTCTTACAGATTTGTTTAAAGAAAGCCATGAAATCTACACGTATGCTGTTTGTGAGAGTGAGTTATACGCCCAGGGGGACATTATGTGGGTGGCTAATCTTTGCGATAAGTCGGATAATAATTAAAATTTGTTAATTAACTTTTTAATTACTGAAAATAGACATATGGTTTTAATTAGAAACTTGCTGAGCGTTATCGAAAACGGCTAAATCATTCATTTTCAGAAAGACTTTCAGTGCGTGAGAAGCGTAGAAGTGCATTATAGTTAGCACTTGTGGAGCACGTACAAGGCTAGCGGTTGCGGTAAGGCACCCACGCGATTTTTCCGTCTCTTATCTAGCCCCAGCCTTGTACCCGATCCACATGTGGTAACTTAAGCGCAGTGTTGCGCTTTTCACCCGCTCAAAGTCTTCCTAAAAATTACTGATTTAGGGGTTTTGGACGACGCTCAGCAAATTTCTAATTGGAACCATAGACTATTTTCACTAATTAAAAAGTTAATTACCGAAATTTAATTAATTATCCTACTTATCGGGAAGATTAGTCACCCCAATAATGCCGCACTGGGCGTATAACTCACTCGCACAAACCGAATAAGTGTAGCTTTCATGAATTTTTTTAGAACAAATCTATAAGAATAAAAAAACGGTGTATTTCATAAGTAAATGCACCCCCACATTACCTGAAAAATGCTTTGCCAAATTTTTTCTGGCGTTTTTATCCTCGATAGGCATGTGTATAAGCATAGCTTTCTCCATACTCACAAAGCCCGGCAGTTCGATGACGGAACCATAGAGTGCCCGGTCGCAGATTTGTAGTGCGAGGATCCGGTAGCACAAAGCATTTCTCGGGGAGCCTGAAGTCAGCGCACAGCTTTTACAGCGGCGAGAACCCGAAACATGGTCTTCAAAGCCGACGAGAAAAGAAGCAGTGGCCCGAGGAACGCGAGAAGCACAAGTGGACATTCCATCGCTCGGGATAGGTGTATTTTGGCGTCTCGCCACAGCGGGGCGCCCGTTACATGTCTCTTATCTGCCGCTCTACCTTTCGACATTCGGCGGCCGCGTTTCGTGGCGATCTGCCAGGCTTTGTCAGTATAGAGGAGGTTATGGTTATTTATACGAATTCGTTGTACGCCCGAATAGTGCTCGTAAACACAACTTTAGAGTGCGCTGAGCGCCTGCCTAATTTTAATCTTAGCACTTTTGCGAGCTCGTGACGTTTTTAGAAGCTCCGAAACTGGACTTGAGCCTCCGTCGTTTATGCACAGTCACGTTAATTGGGCTGCAATTTCTTCTTCAACTTTGAAGGGATGCAATTTTATAGGACATACAAAAGCGCATGCTACCCCTCCCACCCTCCCCCTCCGCGATTTGCATAAGCTTGTATGTGTCATAAAATCGGGTCCCTTAAAACTTGGAGGGAGTTGTCTTCTCTGTGGGCAGTTATTCTACACGTACAAGGATCCATAAGACACTTGAGGCGCTATCCCGATGTCTTTTATTGTCAGCACGCAGAAAAATATAAATAAAAACGACGTATATTGTTATGTGTGTACACGCCAGATTTTCGCAATAGC